CAGAACATGGGGGGGATTCCTAGAACCCTTCTGGAACCCTGAGCTGCCTGCAGGCGCAAGAGGGAGGCTGGTGTGGAGAGGTCAGGTTGCAGCTGGCAGACCCTCGGTCACACGCTTCTCAGAGACCAGGACCAGGACGGGGCGGCTGGGCCCCAGGACTGGGAAGAGTGGACACGGGGGAGGAGAGGGAGGACGGTCCAGGACAGGGCCTGCAGGGTGTGGCCTGCTTTCCTGAGCACATGTTGTGTGCCAGCTGCTTCCGCCTGTTTTCTCTTGTTTAATTTTGAGGTCAGCCTGCTAGATCATAGAGGCCCCCCTCCTTTTTCTCTTTTTACATAAAGTCACAGAGTAGCAGAGGACTAACAGCGCATCTCTCTGGCTATTGGCCACTACTGCTTTTCTGGCGATGGGGCCCCACACCTGTCTCTGGGATGTGTGTGCATGAAGGCAGACAGCCTGCTGGGAGCCCCCCCGAGGGCTGCGTGCCCCAACGGCCCCCTTGTCTGTCCCCCACTCTCAACACCCCCCCCTTCTTTGTCTCACGAGGGCCTCTCTTAGGCGCTGCTCCATCAACGTTGGGTTCCAGCTCCAGTGTCGCGGAGTGTCAGGGGCCTGACCTACCCTTGAGGTGTGCCTGCTTCCCCTCCACTAGCCCTCCGGCCTCAGGGGACGTTGGTGGATACGTTAGAAAGGATGGATTGCCCTTTGCTTTGCCCTCTTGTGCCGTCTGAGTTCTTTCCATCCTGTGGAAGCACCAGGAATTGAGAAAAGATCGGTTTTCTGAGGGCTGAGCCTGAATCACTCTCTGGAGCTTCTGAGGGAGCAGCTGCCACAGCCCTGTGGGCAACAGGCCTGTTTGGGAACGGTTACCTGGCTCATCGTCCATCAGGGACCTGGAGGCAGCTCCTCATCTCTTACCTGCAGAGAAGTCTTGTGTCCCCCCAATTTCCCACCTTTCACCACCACCAAACCAGAGCCAGAAGTGCAGTGGAACAGTGTAAGTTCCCAGCTCTGGAGTCGTCCTGGACTGTTCTCTTCGTCTCACACACCCCCATCCACCCTGTCGGCAAGTCCTGTCAGCTTAGTGTTGAAGATACAGCCAGGATCCCACCTCCTGTCGTCCTCTCCTGCTGCTAGCTGGCTAAGCCACCACTGCCTCGCCGTGGGTTCTCATACTGGTCTCCCTGAAGGCTGCTCAGCACAGCAGCAGGGGTGAGCCTATTCGACTGTAGGTCACAGTGTCCTGACCTGCAGCTGCCCCCTCGTCACTGCAGGCAAAGGGGAGACTTTGCTCCCTGGGCCACAAGGCCTGGGAGGCCTGACTTCATGTCCCGTACTCCCGCCTATCCCTGGCCTCTGCCTGACGGCTGTTCCGCAGACACAGGTGATTCTCACTGACTGATGCTCACCTTCCGGGCCTCCTCATCTGTCCCTGCAAACCCACTTCCCAGGCCCCTTTGCTCCTTTCCTGCTTTCCTATCCCTTGTTGCTGCCTGACATGCTCTGTGTTTACTCCTTTCTCCCCCCTTGAAAGTAAGGAAGGTGGGGGGTTTTGTCTATTTCGTCGCCTGCTGACCTGGCCCCATAGCACAGCA